TATATATATATATATATATAGTATGTATTATCATTATTTATTTAGTTTGTATATTATTCTTTATTATTTTTATGTTTATATATTATATATTATCAGCAGCAGCAACAGCAGCAGCAGCAGAAACAGCAACAGCAGCAGCAGCAGCAGCAGCAGCAACAGCAGCAGTACCTCGAAGTAGCTCTCCGAGCTAGCAAGAGAGAAGCTAGATCTAACTTGAGGAGGAAGTTCTGTTGGTGCCCCTATCTTAACTGCTGCTGCTGCTGCTGCTTCGTCTGCTGCTTTCTTCTCTGCTGCTTTCCCTGCTGCAGCACCTGCTGCTGCTGCTGCTGCTGCTGCTGCTGCTGCTGCTGCAGATCCAGGCACTGTCTTATCAGCTACTGTCTTAGTAATGGGGATTGAATGGACACCTGGAGCCCCACCCTCTTCTCCATGCTGCTGCTGCTGCTGCTGCTGCTGCCTCATCCAATCACCAACAGCTGTAGCTGCTGCTGCTGCTGCTGCCTCACCGCTAGTAGCACCAGCAGGAGTTGTAGCACCACCAGGAGGTCCTCCTCCTGCTGCAGCAGCAGCAGGAGGGAGAGCACCAGATACAGAGGAACGACGAGAGTTACAAGAGCTTCCTCCCCCATAGGATGCCTCATAAGCAGCAAACCCTAATGGATGCCGCTGCTGCTGCTGCTGCTGCTGCTTCCCTCCTGGCTTACCAGACAATAAACGGAACAACTGCAGCAAACAAAGACAATAAATTAATTAGTTAATTAATTAATTAAATTAATTAAATTAAATTAAATTAATTAAGTAGGGTTTAGCGTTTATTAGGGTTTAGGGTGAATTAGGGTTTAGGGTTTAGGGTTTAGGGTTTAGGGTTTACCCCTCTTTTATTTTTTTTATAAGCAGCAAAACTATCCCTAGGTACATCATTAAATATAATAGTAGCATCTGTATCGAACCTTCTTGCTGCACTGTCTCTTCTTGCTGCTGCTGTTTGCTGCAGCAGCTGCTGCGGAGACAGAGGGTCTCCATTAATATTAATACTAACACATAGTCCTTCTGCTGCTGCTGCTGCACCTTGTGCTGCAGCAGCAGCAGCAGGAGTTCCTGCTGTTGATCCTGCTGCTGCTGACGAACCACCACGATATAAACCAAGACCTGTCTTACTCTTAGATAAGCGTGCTGCTGTTGTTGCTGCTGCTGCACCTCCTGCTGCTGCTGCTGCTGTTTTCTCTCCATGCCTACTAGACCCTAATGTACGACTACGTCGTAGATCATGACTATCTGCTGCTGCTGCTGCTGCTGCTGCTGCTGCTGCACCACCAAATAGAGGTCCTCTTGTATGTACAGCTTTTTTTAATGTAGTTAATGCCTTAGCAACAAGATGTTTATCTTTTTTCTTATCTGCTGCTGTATCTGCTGCTGCTCCATCTCCTCCTCCTGCTGCTGCTGCTGCTGCTGCTGCACCTCCTGCTCCCCTACAAGTTAATTTATATAAGGGAGCCATAGTAGTTGGATCTCTTCCTTGTAATGTAACCTCTAATAGATCAAAGTTTTCTTCTTCTCCGCTGCTGCTGCTGCTGCTGCTGCTGCACTCATCTGAGCTCCTTCTACGGTGTACGTACACCTCACGCTCCCCTGCATCTGTAGTTGCATGCTCAATTAAACGTAAATTAAATTTTGGATCAAAGCCACGGGAGACAGAAGGTTTTAGTCCTTGCCCTCTTGCTGCTAGGCTATGTGCCTGACGCTCCTGTATACGTACATACGTACATACGTACATACGTACATACGTACATATTCATATACATATTCATATTTACGTATATACGTATTTATTCGGGTATACATATACAATTATATATGCATTGCATGCATGCATATATTATCTGCTGCTGGTGGTGATGGTGGTGGTGGTGCTAACTAGTTGTTACTAATGCTGCTCTTGTTGCTGTGTTGTACTTGCTGCTGCTGCTGCTGCTGCTGCTGCTACTGCTGCAAGTAGACTGACCTGTTCTGCAACAGTACGTTTCTTGAGTAGTCCTCCTTCTCTGGAGGGCAATGCCTCTAATCCTGCTGCTGCTGCTGCTGCTGCCGCAGCAGCAGATGAGGATACAGCAGAATGTGTACAAGGATAATCTGCTGCATGCGCATCCTCTCCTCTTAATCCTGATGCACTTGCATGCCATGTGCTTCCTTCTGTTACGGATTGGTGTCCCGTCATACGTCTTGATGGTGTATTTGCTGCTGCTCCTGCTGCTGCTCCTGTTGCTGCTCCTCCTGCTGCTGTTGCTGGGGTTCCTGCTGCTGATGGGGTTGCTGGTCCATGATGAGGTAGTCCTCCTGCTGTTCCGTGCTCTGCTGTAGCTGGGGATGCAGTACCTGATGGTGCTGCTGCTGCTCCTGCTGCTGTTTTTCCTGCTGCAGCAGCAGAAGTCATGGGTTGTGCATGCATTTCAATATCTCCTGCATGTTTATCTTTTCCTGCTGCAGAAGCAGCAGCCTCTGTCTGTTCCTCTTCCTCCTCTCCTGCTTCTGCTGCTGCTGCTGCTGCTGCTGCACCAGTAGGAGCAGCAGTAGGAGGATGAGGATAATCATCATTATAATTAACATAATCATCATCATGAACATGATCAATAGGTTCTTCTTCTTCATCTATTTCTTCTTCCTCTATCCCTTCTTCTTCTTCTTCTTCCTCCTCCTCCTCTTGTGTAGGTACTACCCATGAGTATATTGCTGCCTCATGTAAGGACATAAATGCCTGAGTTATGTCTGGTGTTTTTATATCTAAATTACCTAATCTATCTACTTGCCTCCAGCCTAACTTAGGTACTACACGATCTGCATGCGCTAATACATCAGTACCTGCAGCAGCAGCAGCAGCAGCAACAGCAGCAGCAACAGCAGCATTAGTGCAGCATGTAGATGAGGAAAAGGAAGTAGATGTAGTATATTAATATATATATTTATATATAAATAAGTATAATATATATATAAATATATATATAATATACATATAATATACATATATATAAGTACATATACGTATACACATACAAAAATACCCACATATACACTACATACATATAATACAGATAAAAAAATGCAGAAAAGCTCAATAAATAAATAAATAAATAAATAAATAAATAAATAAATAAATAAATAAATAAAATAGGATAAATTACCTTTAAATAACCAATGATTCTCTAATGCTTTCCTATCCTCTAGATATTGATGATCAATCATACGCATTACTGCCTCTAGGTAAACCCTACGAAAGGGTTTAGGGGGATAAGGGTTTAGTAATCTATATATTAATTCAAATGTTATACCATTAATTAATAATATAAGGAATACACTACCACTAATAAAAAAAGAAAGTATATTTGTTAGGTCTGGGTCTAGATCACCGTCACGCTCTATACGTAAACCTAATGCTAATACTATACCACCACGTAAACCTCCCCATACTAATAATACTGCCTGCAGGATAAGAGGACGGAGAGGAGGAGGAGGAGGAGGAGGAGGGAGGAGAGGAGGAGGAGAGGGAGAGGAGGACGAAGAGGGAGAGGAGGAGGAGAGGAAAGCACACAGACACACACACACACAGACACACAAACGCACACAGGAGAATATATATATTGTATCTTGGATAAGTATGCAGCAGCAGCAGCAGCAGCAGGAAAAAAGCAGCAACAAGAGCAGCAGGAGGAGGATGTTATTGTTGTTATTGTTGTTATTGTTGTTACTTACTTCTTTCCATGTAAGTCCGTATCCAGTTCTTCTTAGTACAGGTAAGAAGATAAAGATCATGAATACACGAGCAGCATTAAGATAAATATAAGTTAATAATAAATATAACCAATAAATTAATCCATCATGTCTTGTAAATACACTACTCATCATGCCATAAGTAACTATACCCGATACTATAAATATAGTACAATTTGCCATTAATGCTAGAGCTGCACACAAAAAAAAAAAAAAATTTATTTATTTATTTATTTATTTATTTATTTATTATATTTATTTATTTATATTTATTTATATTTATCTATTTATTTATATTTATTTATTTTATTATGTATTTAAGATAAGTTGTATAATTTTCTACAAAGTATCCTATAACAACCAATATAATGTTTATTTATATAAATAAATAAATAAAATATATAGAATA